ACGCGGCATTAACAAGGTTGCCTAGTAGTGACTGCATGGTAAGTGTAACAAACAACGCACAAGGATACATGCATAATGTACGCAATGGAGATAAAAGGATCAACAGTATGTAGCGCTGCGAAGAAGGGAAACCATTTGGGGCCCGGAAGGAAATATTCGGACTAATACGGACCCACTCACTGCACCTATGTCCCCGTGCTGCAGTCGATGAAGGAGAGGCGCGAGGCCACAAGAGAGAGGGTGGCTCTGAAAAGGGCCGCTGGGATGTGCACGAGGACTTGGATGTTACGGAGCGATAACAAATGCCAAATGGACGTGCTATGGCGACTTACTATCCTCAGGAAGCGGAAACCGGATGCACTTCAGCTACTCGTTGATATGTGTTGTGAAATTGAGGTATGGAAGTGTGAACTCACTTGACAATGTAAAACATGGGATGTCGTGTTACTGCGGACGGTGGTTAACGGTACTGCAACACTTGGAGCTGCTTGTACGTACCATATCTGTGGAAGGGAAAGCGATTAGCATTAACGTACTTACCTGCTATCATCACACACCTCGTGAAGTATCTGATGCTAGGGCATGGCATGGCAAGGTGGAGGCGATACGTTGGAGGTGGCTCAGTGGCATCGTTACGTCGGAAGGCAATGGAAGGTGCATATCACTGTTGCTCTGAAGGAGAAGTGATCATGAAAAACATATGGTACCTGTGACTAGGAATGATTCATGCATTACAAGGCGGAGGCGATAAGTGTGAGGTGCCTCAGTGGCAGCGTTATCTCCGAAGACAATGGGCGGCGCATATCACTGTTGCTCTGAAAGACGTTATCGTAAAAGACCAGTATCACCTGTGACTAGGTTGCAAGGCGACATCACATGGCGGAGGCAATACGTGAGAGGAGGCGCAGTGGCATCGTGCGGTATGACAGCGAATTGCGGCCCAGCTAGTCGTGGCTCTGAAAATGAGATAATCGCGGATAAACCAGGGTACCTGTGGCTACGTAGCATGATGTCGGAGGTACATTGGAGCACCTTCAGCGGCAGGATGTTGGGCTGTCGAAAGAACAGCAAGTTTCAGTGTGACTGTGAAAGAATGCGCGCATACAAGGTCAACACGAAATGCATGTGAAACACCATAGTGATAGATAACGAGGAGACAACCAACCTCATGTCGGAGTGGAAAGTCAGCAGTGGGGTGGACTGCAAGCTGACATCCTTGTGAGTCCAATTAATGATGCGGGCCTGAATCGTGGTTCATTGAGGGAACGGAAAACTTACCGGAGCAGCATAGTGCAGCGTAGCTACGGCTCTGACGACGTTGACGGGGAAGTTACAGACGCCATGGAATGACACGTTGTGCATTTTTCAGTTACACTGATTTCTATCGAGGAAACCTGCAATCCCGTCTGTCGTAGCAAGAAAGGGCATAACGGATGTGCGTGCGCATGACGCATCCCTGCAGGGCGTGTTATCCGAGGCCTTTTATTAGTGATTCCACAGGCACTAGGACGAGCAAGAGAAACAACCAGAATCCGCGTCACCAGCATAGCAAACACAGGACGCATGGTACCATTGCGAGCACGCATAGCACATAACCCACTCCACGTCATCCCCGCGACGTTGCACATCATCCTCCCGCTGACAGAATGCACAGAGGTCCTCGGAACCGCCTCCCTGAGTATCCCGTTTCCGTTTAACGGGCACCCTGTAGGAAGGGATGTGGTCGTGTGAAGCTTCCGAAAATCTTGGCCCCTCAGAACACTCTTACTGAGGCTGACCTCCGTCACGCGGCACTTCAGCGGCGATTTCCGCTTCCTGCGGATGTGGATGGAACCGGTGTTTGCGTTGAAATGACTGGTCGGAAGTCATGCACCTCTGTTGCTTGCATGTGCCTCGGTACATGGCTTCCCGACGTCGTGGCTACCGCGACCGCTGTGGCATCACGTACCGTTCCTGGCGTTGGTAAACCACATAACATCCTGACGTTAAGCTCCCTATCCAGGAGAAGGGCAACAGGGCAATTATACGTGCGACCATGCAGCTGAAAACTGCCCTCGTTCGACATCAGTGACGCAAGCATATTCAAGAAGTTCGACGCCGCGGAGAAGTTCCCGGATCTGTAACTGCATAATTGTGTGCAAATGTCCGACAACACCTCTTGTGTCTTGCGCAGTTTTAACGCACGGCTGACAACGGTATCGCTGTCCCCGGCCTGACGACCTCGAAGCTGCAAAGCACTATCCCTCGGAACACAGTCTGAGCTACCTGCGGGAGGTGGCCGGGGTGCAATCCACCGACATGAATGTAGTATGTCCTCTGCCGAATGTCCGTGAAACCGCGAGACATAACAAATATGAGCACCTGGGAGCCGCCCTGCCGAATGAACCCGCAATCGCAATCACCTCCGCGTGTTATGTATACGCGACGCACTTTGGAACGAGGACAGATAACTGACCAAGATGGCCCATCAGACCGACGACCCAGAACTGGGGATGCCGGAAGTGGGCTACGAAAGCATTCCCTGCAAAATCGCTGAGCTGTGTGAAAACCGAGGCCGCTGAGGACACCGATGGAATAGAAACGGCGCTCATTCAACGTCTACCTATTAAGCAGTTTCGTTCGTGCACGATACTACTGACTCTATCAACGACGCAGATGAAGAGACTGAGCAAAACGGACTTCTCCGACAAATACTGCTTCGGATACTTGTATTCGTTCTCCAACCTGTTCGCCGTATGGCATCCAAAAAACACAACATCCCTTTGTCTGGAAGCCGCCCAAGAGTCAGCGCACTGGAGCCACGTTGCGCACAAATACCGGCACGGTTCCGCATTACCCAGTCGTACCGTGTTCAATAACATTTCAAACATGGACGCATCACGTGTATATATCAGGTTATGTTGCCGCGCGCGTACCTGAATTCCGCGTGCATCAGATATCCCCCGTATGCGACCACAACACCGAGTCATGTAAACTTTAACATGTTACCGGCAAAACACGATCTTCGCGTTGGGATAGATACGTTGAAACTAAGCAGCACATTTATCCATTACCACTGTACTGCAACGGATGCTGCTAGGCACCATCTCCCGCATCGCTTCCACCGCTTGCCCATAGCTGTAAGACGTCTCATCCGGTAGTAGGGCGTAGATAAAAGAAATCCCTAGACCTGTGACGTCCACGAACATGCAGTGCAAAAATATGTATCCACCATAATTTAACTGGTGTGTTGCATCGCATAATAACACCTCGCCATACCGCTTAACCACGCCACGGACAATGGATGGAGAAAAGAACGCATACCGAATCTGGCTACCTCCGACACCTATCGGCCACCACCGTGACCTTCCAACATCGATGCCACCTCCGAATCCTCACATGAAGTTCTGTTTTGATGAAGTTTGCGCAGATTACTCAGGTCCATGCGGGTTACACGCTTGCCGTATTCCTGATAGATGAAGCGCCACGAAATCGGCGTGCTGTGGAAACTGTCCATCAAACGCAGCACTTCCTTCTTCTGTCGCGGTGACAGCCGACGTTTCAGTGCATACAGCCAGGGGTTACCCAGGTGCAAATCATAACTATGGAGCATAAAGTAACTTTCCACGACATATTCATTACCACCGAGAACCGCGCCGTGCAATTTTACGATTTGCATCTACATGCATTAGTTTACGTGATGCATAACTATTAACTCACCGCTTGCCACGAGATCCAGAACGTTGACAATGAACGCAACGGTGCATGATGTAACCGTAGCCACCTGCATCCGGCAAATGCTTACGTCTTCCACGCTTGTACACCGCAGCGGACACGGAGGAAACTCGCGAAAAACAAGTCACCGTTTCAATCTGAAAACGTCCCAAATGCTCCTCGATGTCTTCAACGCTGTCATACTTCCCCATAGCCAAAGACGTGAACAGCCCACTGTCATCCACAAGCATAGCAGAAATAACAAATATGGCCACCGAGCAAACAAAACAAACATCAAACATATGCACCCTTAACCGTAACCATTTTCAGTGTATCACGATTCACCCAAAATCCAGTTCCATCCACACCTTCCAGCTATTGCGCCCTTCCCACCTTTGGCCATGTCGCTAGGTAACACCGTTGCTATATACTATTTGTACCACGGAAAGTTCTCAAGCGACAAATTTTCCTCATAGTGCAACCAAACGTCTTCGAATTCCTCTACGCTTTTGCAGCGAGCATTAACCATATGACGAAACATATTAGGGTCCTCCAGCATGGCGATCGACAACCAAATAGGCCGCTTAGCATTTTGTTGGTTTCTACAAGGTACTAGCGCAAGCAGGTGGTAATTCAATTCCATTGATTCCTTAACAAGGCAGCAGTACGTATAAACTCACTTCTTCTGTGTGCACATGATGACCTATAGGTTGGCTACCGTACCCATACGCGCCGCCTCAATACGGCATTTTACCTACAACAATAAGCCACGCCCATCAAACGCGTGAAATCCATTATTCAAATAATGACAACATGTATACAAAATTAGAACTAAAAATTTATTTACGTACTTAGTAACTAACCGTGTGCCTAAAGAAAGTAAACATAACTACAGTTATTTTAAGCGCGCCACGCAATGCATATTGTAAATAGTACCTGTTTAAGGTTTCTCCTTTAGGTGCAAGGGAAAGAGAAATTCGCGTGTGGCGGTTAGTTGAAATTTAGTTGCTGTGTTTCGGGTTCATTATTGGTTGCTACAGCTACTACATATTTGTTATTCTTTGTGGTATACTCTGACGCAATATATTGTTTTTTCATTTAGTCTGAAACGACGTTTAAGCTGTTGTAACTTTTGGTTTGATGACCCACAAGAGTGAGGAACCAAATGTGCGCTTGTCCAAGTATAACCCCAATACTAACCTGTATGGTTAATAAATAAGAACCTATAGTATCACTAACAACTTTGAAATTTGTGTTTGTAATATGGAATAAAAAATAATCTAGCTTTGACACCAAGTGCCGGTCCTAACACAGCAGCCAACCTCACCCGCATTTCTGGCATTTGACAGCCACGAATTCTTTCATCCGTATGTGCGAAGATGAAACAAACTGCAGTGTACGGTAGGCGGAGTCTCCTTCGTTTCATTGCATTTAAGGCGCATTTAAAAAGGTCCGCAAGAATTTAAGAAAAAACGTTTCAGATGATCAGTCTGCTCAACTTTATTCTATATTATCCACAAAATCTTGCAAGCGCTTGATTCAGGTTAGTAATTAGATGGCCTCCAAAATTTTAGCTTAATCAGTAAAGGTTAGCTTAATAATCTTGTGTGGCTTTATTTATTTTAGTTCGACATAATCATTCCATAGTTTATTTGAGAAACTATATACCCCTCGCTATCTCAAGTTAAGGATATTCCGCCCGCGCGTGTTGAAGCATGCGGTCTGCTTTAGATGCTGAGTTTATTAACTGCGCATCACTTTTTGTCATATGTTATCTGCTAGACGCTTTTTCCGTGCAGACAAACGGTCAGACGTCTCAGTTAGGCATGTAATATGCCTACATGTGACATTAGATAATGTACTGCACCGATAATACTACAGATCTTTGTTTGTAAAGTCATACACCCAAGCAGCACAAGTGACGAGTAGACTATCACTGAGAGAACTACTTATGCACCTGGTCGCCCCAGTGAGACAAATTTAAGACAAATTTTGGTCAAGCAATTAATTTTGCCGTAGACTTGTGTCTTCACTTATGCGTTATGACGCTCAGTTTTCAAGCTTTTGTGTACGGAATGCAGTTTCCATTAAAAAATATGTTCACATCATTGTTCAGGGTGATGTTTAAACGTTTTATCTGTGTGACTAAAATTTGCAATTAACTTGTCTCACTGAGGCGGCCATGAACATGAAAGAAAGGTCACCCAGTGTTCACCAACGGTCAACCCAGCGTACGGAACTTAGTTACTCGTGTTATGTCGGCACGGACTATATCTCTCCTTGCCAAAGATACGGTCCGATATCTGTACAAATCAATACTAAGAGCATTAGGATGTAGTGCTGTACGTAAAACGTTACGCAAAGAACAATTTATTTCATAAACTTGCCTCGCTGGGATAACCAATGGTACGAAATTCGGTCACCATCTACTTTCCAACGGTCCAAAGCCGTAGCATAGGGGGGCGGGGGGACCGACCGCCCTGGAGAGCATGCAACCGGGGCTGTCTTTTTCGTACAGATGATTGTTTATACCAAGAGCAAATTCCACAAATTTACTTTATCACTTAAGTGATAAAATGCTGATAACCGTACTGCAACCGAAGATGAAATTAGTGCTGCAAACATTTATATCCGAGCAACAGAAAGCGACATTGACAGCATGAAGGCAGCGAGAAACCTTTGTAAAACTGATGCCGAAGATACACACGAAGTTGAAGAATTGGAAATACAACTACACTTTGGCAAGCTAACATGCATATTAACCGATTTTATGGATGTCAGTTAATGGCCTGTTAAGATTGGCCATGAAATTCTCACTATGCTTGTCCAGCTCGGATCAACTGTTGTGCAGCACGTAGATCATAAATTTAGTAAGTGGTGTTACCTGCAGTTACTACTGATGCTGAGGTTAGGAAGCTAACAGCAACTGTTTTTTTTGGAATTGCGAACCGGTGAGCGAAGATTGCGAACACGGATCGTGTATTCTCCTTTAAGAGAGACTGTTTTGTTTCGACTGCAGGATGTGTTCAAAGAAATAATCTCGTTTCTCAACTGACGTTGTTGTCAGAAACTGGTGGCAACTGAATCCAGAAGCATGTGAACACGAATATAGTAAAAGGCGTGCTCTGCCATTCTTAAACCGCAAAATGCTAGCAATCCGGCTAGTTGAACGAAAGGCAACTAACAAAATGGAGCTGGTAGTATTGAAGAAGTAGAGCAAAATTTCAGCTAGAATGCTTGATAGCGTCAAGTTTCTCGCCAAGCAAACCTAGACCCCGTGTTGTCATCAAAAAGGCATCCATCATAAAGCAAACCAGGAAAACAGGATGAATTTTTTGAATTTGTACATTTTTTCCTCAACTATGAACTCGTGATCGTGAATATTTGGTGACAGTTCAGCTGGGAAGAAAAATCAGCACCGTTTATTTACTTCCAGAGGTTCAGGATGAATTAGTATCTTGGTAAAGTAGGTGAGAAAGCAACACATAGATCAGATCAAACAAGTTGAGTATGTTTGTTTAATTTATGCTAGCACTCATGATGCATCTCACAAAAATCAGGTGAGTGAAAATGAAGTGAGGGTAAATAACTTTTGTCAGCTTCACTGAGGCTAACAACAACAGAGCAGTGGACATCCCTGGACTGCTTTGGAGAGAACCGAAGAATAATGCAATTCAAATTGTTGACTGCCATGCCCAGGCATTTAACAATACTACTGTTATGGCGCGCTACCTATCGGGCGTGCAGAAACACTTGCGAAATCAACTCAAAACTACATTCATCCTATCCACCAACCATTCCTTGAATTTGGCTTGTGTACCTCAAGTTTATGCGACGGTTCATACTGTTACATTTTGGGCATGATGGACATAATATTTTTATCTGACTATTTCTGGTATGTCTTGCTTAAACTTACTGATCTATGTATTAAGTGACTGTAAACTATAGATGGGGTCATCGAGCAGGCGTTGTAAATATTGTGGTGAAGAAATGCTCAGAACTCATCACTTCTTTTAACCCTTCACAAAATAAGAAAACGCACCACAGTATTAAACGCATCTTCCATTCTCATCTCGGTATTGTCGTTTCCGATCATATTGTTTCCGGACATTTGGATATATGTTCCTGTACAAAACAAGAATGCACTGATATGTTTAAACAAAAGGGTTGGATTTGCAGCAAAGTTCTGTCAAGCTTACAACAGTATGAATAGGTCTTCTTCAGAAAAAAGAAAAAAATGGTGAAGGTTGTAATGGATGAATCCAAAAACACCCAGCTGAGTTGGGAATAAGCATGAGACGTCTAATTCGCCAAAAGTAACAAATGAACGTTGAAGAATTGTTTGATATGTCGCTGTGAGTTGATGCGGAATTATTACATGAAATGATATCTGTTGTAGACGGTCTGACTGACGAAATGCCTTAAACTTCAGCAAATTCGTGATTTTGTAAACAAATATGCTTTTCTTACAACCTCAAATCTGCTTGGTGTTAACTATGGTTGTCCACTTAGCAAAGTGAGGAATCCATTGCCGAAAAGAGGTTTGTAGTATTTTATGAAAGCTTCCGGAAATGACAAAATTAATGAACTTACTGAACTTGCATTCATCCAGAAATATCACTTTGGGGAATCTGCTGCGCATCTTTCTTTCCAAAACTAGTAGCATTGCCAACTGTGAGAGCGCATTCTCAAAACGCAAGCCTATAATGAACTAACTTCATTCATCTATGAACCAGGCAAGTTCCACGGATTGGCCGTTCTCCCTATAGGCTTCATACTTGAAAATGGACTGCATTTTTGTTAGTGTTATTAATACTATTACCTCAAGTAATGCACGAAACGCGTCTCTATGAATTTTGCTCAAGAGGATTATAACAACGCAACTACTTGCTTTTACGGCAACACATTAAATTGGATCTTTGCATGTTATTATATTGTACGAAATATTTAAGGACTATTGACAATTGTGTGGGTTTACGGATTTACAACTACCAGAGGGACGGCTATTTTACCTCCTCCCCGGGCGGCAAAAGTAGTTGTTACGCCAATATATCAGTTGCAATTCCTTAAAGCTACAATCTACTTTTTCTGAGTGCGCCATAAAAGTACCCGAGTTTATCAAAAGAAGAATAAATTAAAGCTAGAGTTAAAAGCAATGCAAAATAACGAATATCATTTGATTTACACATATAGCACTTCTTATCTCATCATCTTCATATTTCTGTCTGCGTCGTAAATTGTTTATACATAGTCGTATTTTCACATATGGTCGGCGGCATCGGGTTACGGAGTTGCCTTTCACTGCGTCTACCATAGGACAGCCACAAGACACCTGCGTCTACACAGGGACCATGATTGGCCTGCGCTGCACCACCCACAGCTCTATCCAACCGACTCATATCCAGTGTAAACCCGAAGGAATAAGACTAGAGGGCGCGTGAATGCGAGCCGCGTGTCATCAGTGGAGCCAGTCCATACTCCCTCAACCTGCACAGCAGCAGCATTCCTGTCTAGCTATGTGTGGAATCATACATATCATAGGTGCACAAGGCGGGTGCTGAACTGTAGTCCGCTCCACACTGGATGGAACTACCCTTGAGCCTAGCACGGCCACGAGGACCGTGCATTCCGCCTCCACAGCAACGATCAACTACTTCCTGGAGCGTATACTAGAGGTGGAGAGTGCTAGACAGGTAGGCACATTGTCAACTTTCACAACAAGCGCATCCACACCGGGAATATCAAACAACCAATATGGAAATTAAGGAAAAGCGAACACGCAAAATTGCATAGGATATGCAGCAGAGTAACAAAACTGTGTTAATTACATAACGTAGAATACTTTTTATGCAGGTTGAGAAGACGTAGTTCAAGTGGAAGTCGTTGTAGCCTAACTGCGGTGAAGAAGCATGATGTATGCAAAATCAACCTCAGCATGAGTACACTTGCACGTCTACATATATATATATATATATATATATATATATATATATATATATATATATATATATATATATATCCACATATATGACAAACATGTTATACCTTTTTACATTTACTTATCAATCGCTGCTCGCTTACCATGATCATGCCTATACTGCCGTGCCTCACGTTGTCGTGAACAACAATTTACTCATTCATTCATTTATTTACTACCATCTTCTGGGGTATAAGCAGCCGTCATACGCCGGATGTCCGAAAGAACTGTGAGTCTTTTGGATCTGGCCAAAGTGTAGTCAGGTAGAGACTTCCGCGTGATCAAACACCACCTCTGCATCTTGACACTGAAGCCAGATAGACCAAGGGCGCAAAAAGTAAGGGAGGCCGGAGCAATGAGAAACTATAACCGTAAGTCTCAACGTCACGAGACCATCAATTCTACACTGGTTCACTAATTCTCAATGAGAAACTCCACCTTACCGCTTAGACAGAACACTTGTAAGGGCAGTTCGGCTGACTCCCTTTTTTCGGCAGGGTGCAGGTTGAACCATTGCTGCTTAAAGTAGTTAGGAATACCGGTAGCTCGAATTTGCTGTCCGATGG